GAGCTGAGAGAAGAGACTGCAAGACTGGGGATCCCCAATAATATCACCTCCATATACCGGCCTGTCCTCTACACCCCGCCTGTGTGTCCCCTATGGAGCCCTGTATGACCTCTATCTATATATAACAGACCTTCTTCCTGTATATAACCTCTCTGTATACAGCCTGCCCCCTGTATACCACACAGAGACCCCCCTCTGTATATAACCTCCCTCTGTATACAGCCTTCCCCCTGTATACCACACACAGACCCCCCCTCTGTACATAACCTCCCTCTGTATACAGCCTTCCCCCTGTATACCACACACAAACCCCCCCTCTGTACATAACCTCCCTCTGTATACAGCCTTCCCCCTGTATACCACACAGAGACCCCCCTCTGTATATAACCTCCCTCTGTATACAGCCTTCCCCCTGTATACCACACACAGACCCCCCCTCTGTACATAACCTCCCTCTGTATACAGCCTTCCCCCTGTATACCACACACAGACCCCCCCCTCTGTACATAACCTCCCTCTGTATACAGCCTTCCCCCTGTATACCACACACAGACCCCCCCTCTGTACATAACCTCCCTCTGTATACAGCCTTCCCCCTGTATACCACACACAGACCCCCCCTCTGTACATAACCTCCCTCTGTATACAGCCTTCCCCCTGTATACCACACACAGACCCCCCCTCTGTACATAACCTCCCTCTGTATACAGCCTTCCCCCTGTATACCACACACAGACCCCCCCTCTGTATATAACCTCCTTCTGTATACAGCCTTCCCCCTGTATACCACACACAGACCTCCCTCTGTATACAGCCTGCACCCTGTATACCACACACAGACCTCCCTCTGTATAATCCACCCCCCCATCTGTATAGAACCCCCTCTGTATACTATATAGAGTCCCCCCTGCATATACCATATGAAGTCCCCCTTCTCCTGTATATAACTGTTTCTGGATGCCTCATAGAACCCTTTCCATATTAAACCTCCTTCCTCTATATAGAACCCCCTCCATGTGCCATATAGAGTCCATTCTCATTCATAACCTCCCTCCATGTAGAGCCCATTCTTGTATATAACGTTCCTCCATAGAGGACCCCTTTCCTTATATAACCCTCCCTGTGTTCCTCTATACCCCCCTTGTATACCATATAGAGCTCCTTCCCCTATGTAACGCCCTCCTTATACCATCTAGAGCTCCTTCCTCTATATAACCTCCTTCATATACCATATAGAGCCCCTTATCCTATAAAACATACTCCGTATACCATATAGAGCCTCTTCCCTATTATAACCTCCTTCATATACTGTATAAGCTCCTTCCCCTATATAACTTCCTCCATATATCATATAGAGCTCCTTCCCCTATATAACCTCCTTCATATACCATATAGAGCTCCTTCCCCTATATAACTTCCTCCATATATCATATAGAGCTCCTTCCCCTATATAACCTTCTTCATATACCATATATAGCTCCTTCCCCTATATAACCTTCCTCCATATATCATATAGAGCTCCTTCCCCTATATAACTTCCTCCATATATCATATAGAGTCCTTCCCCTATATAACCTCCTTTATATACCAAAATAGAGCTCCTTCCCCTATATAACCTCCTTTATATACCATATAGAGCTCCTTCCCCTATAGAACCTCCTTCATATACCATATAGAGCCTCTTCCCTTGTATAGCCTCCTCCATATATATCATATAGAGCCTCTTCCCCTATATAAACACATTCCTATACCATATAGAGCCCCTTTCCCGTATATAACCTCAATATTCCATATATAGACCCTTCTCCTATATAACCCATTCCGTATATAACCTCAATATTCCATATATAGACCCTTCTCCTATATAACCCATTCCGTATATAACCTCAATATTCCATATATAGACTCTTCCCCTATATAACCCATTCCCGTATATAACCTTAATATTCCATATATAGACTCTTCCCCTATATAACCCATTCCATATATAACCTTAATATTCCATATATAGACTCTTCCCCTATATAACCCATTCCATATATAACCTCAATATTCCATATATATAGACTCTTCCCCTATATAACCCATTCCATATATAACCTCAATATTCCATATATAGACTCTTCCCCTATATAACCCATTCCATATATAACCTTAATATTCCATATATAGACTCTTCCCCTATATAACCCATTCCATATATAACCTTAATATTCCATATATAGACTCTTCCCCTATATAACCCATTCCATATATAACCTAAATATTCCATATATAGACTCTTCCCCTATATAACCCATTCCATATATATAACCTAAATATTCCATATATATAGACTCTTCCCCTATATAACCCATTTCCATATATAACCTCAATATTCCATATATAGACTCTTCCCCTATATAAACCCATTCCCGTATATAACCTCAATATACAACATAGATCCCCTTCCCCTATATAACCCTTTCCATATAGCATATGGAGCCCTTTCCCCTATATAACTCTTCTGTATATTCTATAGACCCTGGTCACCTATATAACCCCCCCCCCCCCCCCCCCACCACACACACACACACACACACACACACACACACACACACACATCATATTGAACTCCTTTTTCTAGTTAGAATCCCACCATTTACTATATGTAACCCTCTTCTATATACCATTTAGAGTCTCTCTGTATAGATAACATCCCTCTGTATACCATACATTCCCCTTTACCCTTAGTGACCCTTACTGCATACATCCTGCTGTCTCTATATAGACTCCCCAGTATGGTGACTGTGCTTATACAGAGAGCCCCCTCCTCTCTCTTTATACAGGTGAAGCAGGATAATGACCCCACAGCAGTTCTCATCTAAGTGACTGGAAGCTGGACTGAACCTCCATGATGCAGGTGATCTATTAACACACGGGTGACACTTTCCAGGGTCACATGACTCCTGTTTATGGCCCTCAGATGATGGGGGGGGGCTGCTCTGTGGTAATGAGCCCCTGGGTAGACTCAGCCCACATCTATAAAACAGACAACTTTAGACAAGACAGAAGCTGTATGGGTTATGGTTTGTGTGTTATACATGTGAGCTGCAGAAGTCTCTGTGCTGAGGTAAGGACCACCTCCACCTGCACTGACCAGCAGAGTACCTGCCAGCAGCCAGTGGGAAGACAAACAGATGGGCATTTAATAAACCATGGTAGTTCCCAACCTCTGCTTCCCGCATTACCCCAACCCTGGAGAAGTGTCTGAGTAGTTAGCTGGAGTAAACTTGGTTACTTAGTTATAGGGTTGGAGTTGACAGCTGGGAGAAGCTTGGTTACTTAGTATTAGGGTTGGTGTAGTCAGTTGGGGGAAGCTTGGTTACTTAGTATTAGGGTTGGAGTAGTCAGTTGGGAGAAGCTTGGTTACTTAGTATTAGGGTTGGAGTAGTCATTTGGGAGAAGCTTGGTTACTTAGTATTCGGGTTGGAGTAGTCAGTTGGGAGAAGCTTGGTTACTTAGTATTCGGGTTGGAGTAGTCAGTTGGGAGAAGCTTGGTCTTTGGTATTTGGGTTGGAGTAGTCAGTTGGGAGAAGCTTGGTCTTTGGTATTCGGGTTGGAGTAGTCAGTTGGGAGAAGCTTGGTCTTTAGTATTCAGGTTGGAGTAGTCAGTTGGGAGAAGCTTGGTTACTTAGTATTAGGGTTGGAGTAGTCAGTTGGAAGAAGCTTGGTTACTTAGTATTAGGGTTGGAGTAGTCAGTTGGGTGAAGCTTGGTTACTTAGTATTAGGGTTGGAGTAGTCAGTTGGAAGAAGCTTGGTTACTTAGTATTAGGGTTGGAGTAGTCAGTTGGGTGAAGCTTGGTTACTTAGTATTAGGGTTGGAGTAGTCAGTTGGGAGAAGCTTGGTTACTTGGCATTCGGGTTGGAGTAATCAGTTGGGAGAAGCTTTGTTACTTGGCATTCAGGATGGAGTAGTCAGTTGGGAGAAGCTTGGTTACTTAGTATTCGGGTTGGAGTAGTCAGTTGGGAGAAGCTTTGTTACTTGGCATTCGGGTTGGAGTAGTCAGTTGGGAGGAGCTTGGTCTTTGGTATTCGGGTTGGAGTAGTCAGTTGGGAGAAGCTTGGTCTTTGGCATTTGGGTTGGAGTAGTAAGTTGGGAGAAGCTTGGTTACTTAGTATTAGGGTTGGAGTAGTCAGTTGGGAGAAGCTTGGTTCCTTAGTGTTAGGGTTGGAGTAATCAGTTGGGAGAAGCTTGGTTACTTGGCATTCGGGTTGGAGTAGTCAGTTGGGAGAAGCTTGGTCTTTGGCATTCGGGTTGGAGTAGTCAGTTGGGAGAAGCTTGGTCTTTGGCATTCGGGTTGGAGTAGTCAGTTGGGAGAAGCTTGGTCTTTGGCATTCGGGTTGGAGTAGTCAGTTGGGAGAAGCTTGGTTACTTAGTATTAGGGTTGGAGTAGTCAGTTGGGAGAAGCTTGGTTCCTTAGTGTTAGGGTTGGAGTAATCAGTTGGGAGAAGCTTGGTTACTTGGCATTCGGGTTGGAGTAGTCAGTTGGGAGAAGCTTGGTCTTTGGTATTTCGGGTTGGAGTAGTCAGTTGGGAGAAGCTTGGTCTTTGGTATTCGGGTTAGAGTAGTCAGTTGGGAGAAGCTTGGTCTTTGGCATTCGGGTTGGAGTAGTACAGTTGGGAGAAGCTTGGTCTTTGGCATTCGGGTTGGAGTAGTCAGTTGGGAGAAGCTTGGTTTCTTAGTATTAGGGTTGGTGTAGTCAATTGGGGAGAAGCCAATAACTTACCTATCTCCTTCTGTACCTTTCTCTTCTATATTTTTTTTATGCAGCAAAGGGACACAATGATGGAGTGGACACAAAACTGTCTGAAAAGTGAAGCTGTCAGGTACAATAGTTATGAGGAGCAGAAGAAATGAAATAGATTAAATTGTAGGAGTTCCGCAAAGTCTTTCCAGGAGCCCTCGTTGACCCTTTCTCACGCCACCGTTGTCTAAGGTCAATCAGTGTTTGTGTATTGCAGGCTGTGGTGACATTTAATGACGTGGCGGTGTGCTTCTCGGAGGACGAATGGAAGGGGCTACAGGACCAGCAGAGGGGATCTGTACTGCCAGGTGATGACGGACAACTACAAGAACCTGACCGCGCTGGGTGAGCCATTTTTCTGTTAAGGTGTTACATGAAAATATGTGACGCCTCCATATACCTCTGATTTATCTTTCTGGATCGGTGCAGTACGGAGATACAGTATAGTGCTGGTGGAGGCGCCACGTAACGTGTCACGGTCTCTCCGCAGGACTCTCACAATCCCCTCCGGAGATTGTGCTGAAGATTGAGAGGGGGGAAGACCCCTGCGTGGACACTGGTGAGGAGACTGCAGGTCAGTTCAGGGCCATTCTCAACCATGTTAATGAAATAATCAACAAGTACTGACTCTGAACTACCAATGTGATATAAAAATGAACACGTAGAGGTGATCGAACCTACCTACATATATGTTCCAGAGATCCTCAGAAACCCCAACACCCCACAGGCTATGCTCTACCGAGGAGGTCATCGCCCTAATTTCCTTTTTTTTTTTTGGCATTATCAGTCAGATTTTCAATATCAATGCCAAAATTTCACAATTTCTCCCGGGGAATGTAAACGTTTGAGCACAACTGTGTATACATATATATATATACAACAGTTTGCGCAGCGCTTTACAATATACAATTACAATACATTTCAGTACAGTAGGGGATGTGTGTGTGTGTGTGTATATATATATATATATATATACACACACACACACACACACACATATACACACATTACACACACACACACACACACACACATACACACCACACACACACACGCACACACACACACACACAACACACACAACACTCACACACACACACACACACACACATTACACACACACATTTCACACACACACACACACACACACACACACAACACACACATGTGTGTGTGTGTACACACACACACACACACATACACACACACACACACACACACACACAAAATCTCCCCCAGAAGTGAGTACATCCCTCACATTTTTTGTAACTCTTTGATTTTCTCTTTTCATGTGACAACACTGAAGAAATGACACTTTGCTACAATGTGACGTAGTCAGTGTACAGCTTGTGTAACATGTAAATTTGCCGTCCCCTCAAAATAACTCAACACACAGCCATTAATGTCTAAACCGCTGGCAACAAAAGTGAGTCCACCCCTAAGTGACAAGGTCCAAATTGGGCCCAATTAGCCATTTTCCCTCCCTGGTGTCATGTGACTCGTTAGTGTTACAAGGTGTCAGGTGTGAATGGGGAGCGGATGGTGACATTTGGTGTTATCGCTCTCACTCTCTCATACTGGTCACTGGAAGGTCAACATGGCACCTCATGGCAAAGAACTCTCTGAGGATCTGAAAATAAGAATTGTGTCTCTACATAAAGATGGTCCTAGGCTATAAGAAGATTACCAAGACCCTGAAACTGAGCTGCAGCACGGTGGCCAAGACCATACAGCGGTTTAACAGGACAGGTTCCACTCAGAACAGGCCTTGCCATGGTCCACCAAAGAAGTGGATATGCGTCCTATCTAGAGGTTGTCTTTGGGAAATAGACGTATGAGTGCTGCCAGCTTTGCTGCAGAGGGTGAAGGGGTGGGGGGGGGGGGGTCAGCCTGTCAGTGCTCAGACCATACACCGCACACTGCATCACATTGGTCTGCATGGCTGTCGTCCCAGAAGGAAGCCTCTTCTAAAGATGATGCACAAGAAATCCCGCAAACAGTTTGCTGAAGACAAGCAGACTAAGGACATGGATTACTGGAACCATGTCCTGTGGTCTGATGACACCAAGATAAACTGATTTGGGTTCAGATGGTGTCAGGCGTGTGTGGCGGCAACCAGGTGAGGAGTACAAAGACAAGTGTGTCTTGCCTACAGTCAAGCATGGTGGTGGGAGTGTCATGGCCTGGGGCTGCATGAGTGCTGCCGGCACTGGGGGGCTACAGTTCATTGAGGGAACCATGAATGCCAACATGTACTGTGACATACTGAAGCAGAGCATGATCCCCTCCCTTCGGAGACTGGGCCGCAGGGCAGTATTCCAACATAATGACCCCAAACGCACCTCCAAGACCACCACTGCCTTACTAAAGAAGCTGAGGGTAAAGGTGATGGACTGGCCAAGGATGTCTCCAGACCTAACCCTATTGAACATCTGTGGGTCATCCTCAAACGGAAGGTGGAGGAGCGCAAGGTCTCTAACATCCACCAGCTCCGTGATGTCGTCATGGAGGAGTGGAAGAGGACTCCAGTGGCAACCTGTGAAGCTCTGGTGACCTCCATGCCCAAGAGGGTTAAGGTAGTGCTGGAAAATAATGGCGGCCACACATAAATATCGACACTTTGGGCCCAATTTGGACCTTGTCACTTAGGGGTGGACTCACTATTGTTGCCAGTGGTTTAGACATTAATGGCGGTGTGTTGAGTGATTTTGAGGGGACAGCAAATTTACATGTTATACAAGCTGTACACTGACTACGTCACAGTGTAGCAAAGTGTCATTTCTTCAGTGTTGTCACATGAAAAGAGAGAGAATAAAATATTGACACAAATGTGAGGGGGGGGGGACTCACTTCTGCAAGATACTGTATATGTATGTACGTATGTGTGTGTGTATATATGTATATATATATATATATACATACATATATACATACATATATACACTATATTGGCAAAAGTATTGGGCTGCCTGCCTGCCTTCCCACGCACATGACCTTTAATGGCCCCCCAGTCTTAGTCCGTAGGGTTCAATATTGAGTTGGCCCCGCCCTTTGCAGCTATAACAGCTTCAACTCTTCTGGGAAGGCCGTCCACAAGGTTTAGGAGGGTGTCTATGGGAAGGTTGGACCATTCTTCCAGAAGCACATTTGTCAGGTCAGGCACGGATGTCGGGGGAGGAGGCCTGGCTCGCAGTCTCCGCTCTAATTCATCCCAAAGGTGTTCTATGGGGTTGAGGTCAGGACTCTGTGCAGGCCAGTCAAGTTCCTCCACCCCAAACTGGCTCCTCCATGTCTTTATGGACCTTGCTTTGTGCACTGGTGCGCAGTCATGTTGGAACAGGAAGGGGCCATCCCCAAACTCTTCCCACAAAGTTGGGAGCATGAAATTGTCCAAAATGTCGCCTTAAGAGTTCCCTTCACTGGAACTAGGGGGCCAAGCCCAACCCCTGAGGGACAACCCCACACCATAATCCCCCCTCCCCCAAACTTTACACTTGGCACAATTCAGTCAGGCAAGTACCGTTCTCCTGGCAACCGCCAAACCCAGACCCGTCCGTCGGATTGCCAGACAGAGTAGCGTGATTGGTCCCTCCAGAGAACATGTCTCCACTGCTCTAGAGTCCAGTGGTGGCGTGCTTTACACCACGGCATCCGACGCTTTGCATTGCACTTGGTGATGGAAGGCTTGGATGCAGCTGCTCGGCCATGGAAACCCATTCCATGAAGCTCTCTACGCACTGTTGTTGTGCTAATCTGAAGGCCACACCAAGTTTGGAGGTCTTTAGCTATTGACTCTGCAGACAGTTGGTGACTTCTGCGCACTGTGCGCTTCAGCATTCGCTGACCCCGCTCTGTCATGTGACGTGGCCTACCACTTGGTGGCTGAGTGACTGTTGTTCCCAGTTGCTTCCACTTTGTTATAATCCCACTAACAGTTGAGCGTGGAATATTTAGTAGCCAGGAAATGTCACGGATGGACTTATTGCACAGGTGGCCACCTATCACAGGACCACGCTTGGAGCCACTGAGCTCCTGAGAGCGACCCATTCTTTCACCCATGTTTGTAGAAGCAGTCTGCATGCCTAGGAGCTTGATTGTATACACCTGTGTCCATAGAGGTGATTGGAGCACCTGAATCACATGATTTAGGGGCGGGGCCAATACTTTTGGCAATATAGTGTATATATGAAATAACTATAATATATATTTTTATTATTTATTGTATTAGCTTTACAAAACTCAGGCAATTGTGTTACTTATCACAGTTCTGTCATCTGTAGATAACATGGCGGTAAATGGACGCAACGAAGAGGTCCAGATGAGATGGAATCATTGGAAGAGCGCCAGTCAGCGGCCAGCAGCAAGGGCGGTCAGTAGGAGGTCCCTGCGTCTGGTAAGGAGAGCCACCAGGTCGGCAGAAGAGGGAGCATCTTCAAAGAAATCACCCCGCAGAGAGAAGATTTCTGATGGTCACTCCCGTAACGGGGTCACTCAGGAAAAAGCTTTGCATGATGGCGGTTCTGAGGAGAGAAGTGACATGGATGGAGCAGGGTCCAGTCCTGGTAGTAAAACACTTCATGAGACAGATGGGGTTGACCAGGAAAGGCAAGAGTCGTCAGGCAGCCCTCAGAAGATGCACACTTGTGCCCAGTGTGGGGAGAGCTGGAGTCACCTCATCGACTTCCTATCCCACCAGATGGGGAACTGTCAGGACCGGCCACACGGCTGCAGCATCTGCGGCAAGACCTTCGTAAAGAAGCAGCACCTGACGGCTCACCGGAAGACGCACACAGAAGATCGACCGTACACCTGTAACCAGTGTGGGCGGAGCTTCCGGCAGAACTCCACCCTGACCACTCATCTCTGGAGTCACGCCGGACACAAGCCTTTCCACTGTACCTGCTGCCCCAAGAGCTTCAGCCGCAAGACTGACCTGGTAGCCCATGTGAGACGTCACACCGGGGAGCGTCCCTACCAGTGTCCATACTGCTGGGATCGCTTCATCCGTAAGAAGTCGCTGCAGCGCCACCTGCAGAAACATTCCGGGGAAAATCTGGGAATGGGGTGGGAGCAGAGCTACCCAAGGTGGAGGAAAACCACCAGCTTTGTGGAGAGGAACCCTAAGATTGAGGAGAGCCCAATGGAGACACCACCAACTCCTCCTCACCCTGAACCTGCCACTGAGGTGAGATCACCCCATTATAGTCCGAGCTCTTATTAACACCCATTCACAGTACATCATGAGGGCACAGCAGTGTCTGTGGATATTAGGCTGGCCACACTTACAGTGGGCACAATAATTATTTGATCCCCTGCAGATTTTGTAAGTTTGCCCACTTACAAAGAAATGAAGGGTCTATAATTGTTATCAAGGTGTGTTTTAAATGATAGAGACAGAATATCAACCAAAAATCCAAAAAAAAAAACACGATACAAATGTTAGAAATTGAGTTGCAGTAAAATAAGAATTTGATCCCCAAGCAAAACAGGACTTAGTACTTGGTGGAGAAAACCCTTGTTGGCAATCACAGAGGCAAGGCGTTTCTTGTACCAGGTTTGCTCAAATCTCAGGAGGGTTTATGGTGGTTTGCACACATCTCAGGAGGGTTTTTGGTGGTTTGCACACATCCCAGGAGGGTTTTTGGTGGTTTGCACACATCTCAGGAGGGGTTTTTGATGGTTTGCACACATCTCAGGAGGGTTTTTGGTGGTTTGCACACATCTCAGGAGGGTTTTTGGTGGTTTGCACACATCCCAGGAGGGTTTTTGGTGGTTTGCACACATCTCAGGAGGGGTTTTGATGGTTTGCACACATCTTAGGAGGGGTTTTGGTGGTTTGCACACATCTCAGGAGGGGTTTTGGGGGTTTGCACACATCCCAGGAGGGTTTTTGGTGGTTTGCACACATCTCAGGAGGGATTTTGGGGGTTTGCACACATCTCAGGAGGGGTTTTGGGGTTTTGCACACATCTCAGGAGGGGTTTTGGTGGTTTGCACACATCTCAGGAGGGATTTTAGCGGTTTGCACACCTCAGAAGGGATTTTGGTGGTTTGTACACATCTCAGGAGGGATTTTGGTGCTTTGCACACATCTCAGGAGGGATTTTTAGCGGTTTGCACACCTCAGAAGGGATTTTGGTGGTTTGCAAACATCTCAGGAGGGGTTTTGATGGTTTGCACACATCTCAGGAGGGGTTTTGGTGGTTTGCACACATCTCAGGACGGATTTTAGCGGTTTGCACACCTCGGAAGGGATTTTGGTGGTTTGCACACATCTCAGGAGGGATTTTGGTGGTTTGCACACATCTCAGGAGGGTTTTTGGTGGTTTGCAGACATCTCAGGAGGGATTTTGGTGCTTTGCATACATCTAAGGAGGGTTTTTGGTGGTTTGCACACATCTCAGGAGGGTTTTTGGTGGTTTGCACACATCTCAGGAGGGATTTCAATGGTTTGCACACATCTCAGGAGGAATTTTGGTGGTTTGCACACAACTCAGGAGGGATTTTGGTGGTTTGAACACATCTCAGGAGGGGTTTTGGTGGTTTGCACACATCTCAGGAGGGATTTCAATGGTTTGCACACATCTCAGGAGGGATTTTGGTGGTTTCCACACGTCTCAGGAGGGATTTAGGTGGTTTGCACACGTCTCAATAGGGGTTTTGGTGGTGTGCACATGTTTCAGGACGGGTTTTGGTGCTTTGCACACATCTCAGGAGGGATTTTGGTGCTTTGCACACATCTCAGGAGGGTTTTTGGTGGTTTGCGCACATCTAAGGAGGGTTTTTGGTGGTTTGCACACATCTCAGGAGGGTTTTTTGGTGGTTTGCACACATCTCAGGAGGGATTTCAATGGTTTGCACACATCTCAGGAGGAATTTTGGTGGTTTGTGCACAACTCAGGAGGGATTTTGGTGGTTTGAACACATCTCAGGAGGGGTTTTGGTGGTTTGCACACATCTCAGGAGGGATTTCAATGGTTTGCACACATCTCAGGAGGAATTTTGGTGGTTTGCGCACAACTCAGGAGGGATTTTGGTGGTTTGCACACTCACACACATCTCAGGAGGGGTTTTGGTCCACTCTTCTTTACAAATCTTCTCTAAATCCTTAAAGTTTCTTGGCTGTCGCTTGGCAACTCGAAGTTTCAGCTCCCTCCATAAATATTGTTATAGGATTAAGGTCTGGAGACTGTCTAGGCCACTCCATGACCTAAATGTGCTTCTTTTTAAGCCACTCCTTTGTTTTCTTGCTGGAAGGTTTGGGCCATTATCATGCTGGAACACCCATCCACGACCCTTCTTCAGTGTTCTGGCTGAGGGAAGAAGGCTCTCATCTAAGATTTTACAATACATGGCCCCTCAATGCGGCAAAATGTGGCCTGTACCTTTAGCAGAGAAACAGCCCCAAAGCATAATGTTTCCACCGCCATGCTTGACTGTAGGGATTGTGTCCTTAAGCCATAGTCAGCATTTAATGCCAAAGAGCATTCTCATCAGACCGCAGCATTTTCTCCCAATCCTTCCCTGAATCATTTAGATGTTCGTTGGCAAACTTTAGATGGGCCTGGACATGTGCCTTCTTGGTGAAGGGGACCTTGTGGGTGCTACAGGATTTCAGTCCATGGCGGCGTATTGTATTACCAATGGTTCGTTTGATAACTGTGGTCCCAACTGCCTTGAGATCATTGGCAAGCTCCTCCCATGTAGTTATGGGCTGATCCCTCACTTTTCTCATGATCCTTATCTCACGAGGCAAAATCTTGCATGAAGCTCAAGACCGAGGGCGTTTGTTGGGTTTTTTTGTATTTATTCCATTTGCGAATAATCTCTCCAACAGTTGTCTCCATCTCACCAAGCTTCTCACTGATGGTCTTGTGGCCCAGTCTAGCCTTGTGCAGGTCTACAGCCTTGTCCCTGATGTCCTTTGACAGCTCTTTGGTCTTGCCCATGATGGTGAAGAAGAAAGAGATTCTGTGGACAGGTGTCTTTTATACAAGTAATGAGTTGTAAATAGGAGTACCTTCTTAAATTGACAGAACTGATCTGTGTACCACATGAGCACATAGCCAGTCTGTGGGAGCCAGAATCATTGTTGGTTGGTAGGGGATCAAACACTTATTTTACTCACTGAACTGCAACTCAATTTATAACATTTGTAATTTATAACAATTAAAAACACTTAGGCGTTCTCATTCTTACCATTTTAACAACTTGCCGTCCGCCTGCTGTTTATAAATGGCAGGGCGGTGGCAGTCCAGGGGCGGGTTGCCGTTCATAAACGGCACCCGCCTTTTCTAGCTGTGCGCGCTCCCTGGGAGCGCACAGCACCGCGATCCGGTGCCCGCTGTGTCCTCCGAAACACCGATCGTCGGACGGGACCTCTGTGCGAGGTCCCGATCATGTGATCACTGATTGGCCAATCAGTGATCACATGCAAAGTAGTAAGCAAGATGTCACTTGTGACATCATTGCTTACTACGTGTGAAATCTGTGAACAATCACAGAGGTCACATGGTACAGGGCTATTCACAACAGACTTGTACCATGTGACAAGCTGTGACCAATCACAGCTCACTCAGTATTTCTCAATGACTTCAAGAATGCAGACAGAGAGAAAGAGAAATGATTGCTTTTACATCCTATATGGGTATAAAAGCAATCAGTGTAAAAAAAAAAAAAAAAAAAAAATCTTCATCACCCCCCACAAGTAGTACAGTGTCACCATGGTGACTGTACTGCTAGGGTGACAGTATGTAAAAAAAAATATATATATATAAAAATAATAATATAAAAAAATAAAATAAAAATGTAAAAAAAAATGTTTAAAAATTATAATTTTTGGTTATAAACTAATTTGGATTTTTTTTTTTACTAAAAAAATAATGGAATAAATTTTGGCCAAGATTTATGATGAAATATTATTTATTTGCAAAATTTTATAAAAAAAAAAAACACTTTTTTTCAAAATTTTTAGACTGTTTCATTTACATAGCAAAAAAAATTAAAATCCCAGCGGTGAATAAATACCACCAAATAAAGTTTTATCTGTCTCAAGAAAAATGGTAAAAAATTCATATGGGTACAGTGTTGCATGACCGCGCGCAATTCTCATTCAAAGTGTGATAGCGCTGAAAGCTGAAAATTGGCCTGGACTGGAAGGGGGGGGAAAGTGTCCGGACTGGAAGGGGGGGGAAAGTGTCCGGTACTGGAAAGGGGGTCCGGACTGGAAGGGGGGAAAGTGTCCGGACTGGAAGGGGGGGAAAGTGTCCGGACTGGAAGGGGGGAAAGTGTCCGGACTGGAAGGGGGGAAAGTGTCCGGACTGAAGGGGGTGAAAGTGTCCGGACTGGAAGGGGGGGAAAGTGTCCGGACAGGAAGGGGGAGAAGGTGTCCGGACTGGAAGGGGGGAAAGTGTCCGGACTGGAAGGGGGTGAAAAGTCTGAGGACTGCCGGACTGGAAGGGGGTGAAAGTGTCCGGACTGGAAGGGGGGAAAGTGTCCGGACTGGAAGGGGGGGAAAGTGTCCGGACAGAAGGGGGGGAAAAGCGTCCAGACTGGAAGGGGGGGAAAGCGTCCGGACTGGAAGGGGGGGAAAGCGTCCGGACTGGAAGGGAGGGAAAGCGTCCGGACTGGAAGGGGGGGAAAGCGTCCGGACTGGAAAGGGGGGGAAAGTGTCCGGACTGGAAGGGGGGGAAAGTGTCCGGACAGGAAGTGGTTAACTGGCTGCCCGTGTGATTTCTATATTGTCAGCACCTGATGTTTGATTACAAATGACAGGAGCATCACAAACTTGGAATGCAATTATTTCTTACAATTTTGAGAAGGTGCCAATAGTTTAGTCCGTCTATTTTTGGGGGGTTTTTGTGGAACGCATTTACAAATATATGTAAAAATAACTTTTTTATATGTTAAAAAAAAATCTGAAGAATATATATTTAAAAAATATATATTTTTTAAAAATATTTTTCATATACTTTGTAATATATAAAAAAC